TGTCCAGACACACACACAATTTGACTCCTGCCCATCAATACCACTGTCACTATGTACAGTTGGCATACATGCAGTACATTCAAAATTCAAAAAACTTATGACTATGGAATGTGTTATGAATACTGTTAGTATTGCATAACCATACCAGTGCGTTTAGACGCACTGTGTCTACATGCAAGTATTTAGATAAGCTACCCACTAGTGTTGATTGAGAGATCACACTAGGGGAGTACAAGATAAGAGAAGAGAAGACTACTAACAGTCAGTATAAGCTATACATCATTAAAGAAAAGTAATTTACAGTTTATACAATATTTAATATCAGGTACTGTATAGAACTGAAACAAGAAATAGTGAGACTATAGGAGAGGACAGGTTAGTGTATGAGAATAAGAAATGAATAAATAAAAAACAACAATTATTAAAACAACAAATTAATACACATTAGCGTCAAGGTCAATTTTAATCAGTTTTACTTACACAAAAAGTGTTTGGTACTGCATTAGTCCTTTATTGTGTCCAGTGATTATACACACAATCATCAATAGATGAGAAATCAATTGTTAGTGTCTTTATTGAAGGAATAAATTGACTATTGAATAAAAAATTAATAGATCTACATTAATAAAATGAAATCACAAATAATTACTATAAAAAATTATTTAGCTATGACAGCAAAGCAAGAAATGGAACAAATAAAAGAAGAAATGAAAAAAATTAAAAAGGAATGGGAAAAAAGTAGGGCTGGGCGATAGTATCGATAGTTGCACTATCGTGATAGTGTACAGCCTATCATGATAGTGATACTGCTATTCTAACTATCATGATAGTTGTTATGTGTGCATGGAGCATGGCATAAATGACACTTTACAGCTGTAAATAGCTTCTAATTAATGACAGCTTCCACAAATAGAGTGGTACAGCTTACTAGCACAGCTTAATTCAAGGTTTTTCACTGTCCCTGCTACATCAGCACCATGTGAACGTGTTTTCTGTATAGCGGGACAGTGTTTCTTGTTAAAAATTTGGATTAAATAAGTACAATGACTAAGTACAATGACTACATCCTTAAATAAATCATTGTATTTCCACATGTAAACCCTATGGCTGAACTATCGTGATATGTTCACTATCATGATATTAGAGTTACTAAATATCGTGATAGTGATATTACTACTATCGCCCAGCCCTAGAAAAAAGAGATAAAACACTGGAATACTTTAAACAAATTCAAGACGTGGAAAATGAAATGGATCAAGAGTGTAAAAAAATAATAGCAGAAATGGAAAAAGGAGTAAAAGCAAAAATAAAGGAGGAACAATTTAAAGAATTAAAAGCTGATCTAGAAATAGCAAAGGAGTTAAGGAAAGATGCTCAAGATAAAATATTACAATTACGACCCAATTTACAACTACTAACACAGAATGAAGTTTTTGTTACTTTCGTAAAAAATACAAAAGAAGAAGCAAAAAATTTTAGAGAAAAGAGAAGAAAGAAGTGGGATGAATATTACTTGAAGATAGCCTGTTTAGCTGCTTTAAGAAGTAAAGATCCCAGGACACCAGTAAGTCCACTATACATGATACATGTAGTCTGCTTGCAATTATATTTGTCAGGTTGGAGCCTGTATTGCTAAATGGCCAACAGCAAAGAGTGATTCAAACTCATACCGAATAGCTGGAATTGGCTACAACTCCATGCCTTATGTTGAAGGGGAAGACAACGATAGCTTATTCCCTTGGAAACGACATCATCCAAAAGCTACAGACCCTACACCTCAAGATCCCACACATACAGACCATACACCTGAAGGCCCTACACCTGAAAGCCCTACATCTAAAAGCTCTACACCTGAAAGCCCTACATCTAAAAGCTCTACATCTAAAAGCTCTACACCTGAAAGCCCTACAACTGAAGGCTCTACAGCTGAAGGCTATACAACTGAAGATTCTACATCTGAACACTTTACAACTGAAGGCTCTACAAAAACAGATCCTACACTAAAGCATGCCTATGGTAAGTATTAAAATTAAGCAATGCAATATTAATTTTAACAATTTCTAGTTGTTCATGCAGCAGTGAATGCTATCCTTAACAAGACAAGAGAAAGCATTAAAGGATGTACAATATACTTGACACATTTTCCGGACAATGATTGTGTTCATGCAATCATAGAAGCTGAAATAAGAGAAGTAGTTTATCTTAAATGGAAGAGTTGTGATGATGATGATGAAAAAGATGAGAGAATTAAGGAATTGTTGGATAATAATTCTGTTGAATTAAGGTAAAAAATTATGTAATGATTACTGATCAAATGAAGTAGGGAAATAAAGCGTGAAGAAATAAAAGAGGAGAAAGATCTCAAAGTTGTAACAGAACTAGAATATAGAATAGCTAACAAAAGTGATGCTGATGCTAACAAAGCAGCAAGGACAATGGCAATATCATGGGAACAGTTTTTCATGGGATTGCAGAACTATCAAAGACAAGACCAGGAGAAGAAAAGAACCCTAAAATCATAGTAAAAATAGCAAAGAGAGTATTTCCATTAGATTACCATCAGGAGCCCATAAAAATGAGCTCCTGTTACCATACATTACATTAAATTCTTAAAAAGCTATAAATGAACACTACAGATTGATAGATATTAAATGCACATAAACAAAAAGTCTAAGTGTGGCTGAAGCCCTATGCATGTATTTGACTCTCAATTTATATGTAGGTAGGAGCATGCATAGTGTCACCAAGCAAACAAGTAATGGCAGTTGGATACAGTGGATACCCTGAAGATATGGAGGAGATTAGTGATGATAAGTATCAAGGATATTACAGTAAGCATAATTTTACTCAACTATTAATATAAGGTCTAATTTTAGTGTCACATGCTGAATACAAAGCAATTATAAAAACCACATCAGTTAAAGGATGTACGCTGTATGTTACTCAAGAACCTTGTTGTGTTTGTGCTAAAATGATAGTACAAGCTGGGATAAGTAAAGTGATTTACAAGAATGAAGGGAAAGGAGATAAATACCTAGCTTCAAGAAAAACGCTACCAACATGTTTGAAAATAAGGTTACCTTTAAATACAAATTTACACTGAAATCACTATTATTTGTATAGACAAACACAAGTAAAAACTGTTTGGAACAGGCCCAAGATTCCCAGGCACTCAGAGCAAACTGCTGAGTCTCTAACAAAAGCAGCATTCTAAAGAAAAGAAGGGGCTCCAAAAACAGCCTTCAATTTGTAGTAGTTTTTATTTAAAAAAACATTGTTAGAGGTAATAAAAATAGATATGATACCGGTATCTTCTTTCCTTTCTTGGTCTGTTAGGCATTTTAGTTATAATACAATTGTAGATGCATGCATGTAGTTTTAGTTTATTAAAGAAACTAACCTGTATTTAACTTTAGCCATGTCCAGTAGTTTCCTGCTAGCAATCATGTGATCAGTATCATGATGTTTATCACTGACGTTTAATATCTCAGTGATACCAGACTGTATGATCAGCTTAGCACACTCATTACAAGGGAACAATGCAACATATATAGTACATCCTTTAACATCAGCTGAGTTCTTATTAAGGATAGCATTTAATTCAGCATGACACACCTTTATGTGGAGGCATACAGTAAGGAATGTAATTGGTACACTGTCAGTTGAATGAAGGTGTCCACTATAAAGAATGTCCATTAAGAGAGGCTATACTGTTGTATACTATTTCATATACACACACAACTGACACAACCTCTCCTTTTTCTCTGCCTTCCTCTTAAACCATCCCGTACATAATTCCCTCCTATGCATATTTTAGCCACTAATGAGGGTTCCAAATAACCCACTAGTGACTGCACAATAGATTGCTTCGATAACACAATCATAACAAAAGTCATTTTAGTACAGCACATACACACAATGTATAACTACTATACTATATCCCAGTTGAGTTTGGGACAAGAAAAACTGGAATAACTTTTTATAGGAATGTGGGATAAGGATGAAACTTTCACAGGTTCTTAGTCGCCAAAGTCCATTAAAATCTGTGAAATCTTGGGTCTCTCAGCCCTTGGGAACCCTGAGAACCGGGTTCTCCCTATAAACCCAATGGCATACCAAAATGACGTTTTATGACAATTTATCTACGTCATAGTTTACATAAGAACATGTGGTCGAGCGTGCAAACTGATAATTCTTCTTTTAAAAAGCTAACAGAGCCAGATCTTCTGATAATAATGGCCATTATGAAGACTAGTAGGCTCCAGCAGCTATTGTACTGCTTATCAGCAGCAGTAAGACTGTTTTAAGAGTGAAACAAGACAGCCGCCATGCTTCTATGAATATAATTAAAATACGTCATTTTTGTGACGTAGCTACATTTCGCAGCTGCTTCTACTTCCGTCCCAAACTGAACTGGGATATAGTATAGTATGCATACAAAGTACAAACATTACTTAACGAGTAGTTTAAATCAGCTACACACCACTCTGTCAGGATTCCAAAAACTAACTTATAAATCATAAAATTTATTGTTGATTTAGTTTTAAAATTTTAAAAGCTTTTTGAATGCTCAGAGCTCAAAGTTTCAATTGGCCGAATCGATTCAAACATCTGCATAGCATAAGGACATTGAGGTATGACTTTTTCTCAAAAATGAACTACACTGTACATATGGTGTTTCAAAAATAATATAGTGAAGCTTAAATTAAATTGTAAGTACAAGTATTACAATGTAGGTAAACTATAAGATTGATACTAAGCATATGGTTTGAAGCCAAAATTTTAATCTGCTCATAACAGAATTGTATTATAGGACACCAATGAGCACTGAGGCAATTGCTGCTACAAACAACAATAACAGTGTGTTAACTGTGTTTACACAAATTGTACCAGCTAAGTATTACTCCTACCAAGAGTCCATTATATTTAGAGAGAGTGTCTAACTGCCCTATAGTGCTAGTGATATCACCGCGTAGAAGCCCCAATTAGCTCTTCCTTTGATGTTCAGAAGACTCGAGTTGCAGGCTAGGAACGAAGAATGGGAATTAATTAATCGGGGCAAGGGGCGTGTCATCATAGATTTATTTGACTCTTTAATGTACATGTAGGTAGGAGCATGCATAGTGTCACCAAGCAAACAAGTAATGGCAGTTGGATACAGTGGATACCCTGAAGATATCCACCATACCCAGTAGTTTCCTGCTAGCAATCATGTGATCAGTATCATGATATTTATCACTGACGTATAATATCTCAGTGATACCAGACTGTATGATCAGCTTAGCACACTCATTACAAGGGAACAACGTAACATCCTTTAAAATTAGTTGAGTTCTATCATCAGCTGGTGAGCATCAATGTCACTTACAAACACACCTCCATTGGAAAGTTAATTTGATTTATAAATAAGAGATTGCAATTACATATGAGGAGCAAAAAGATGAAAACAAGTTGAGGCTATAGGGAGCTATGCTAAAAGAATTAAATAAACATGCACACAAATATTGTCAACACACAAGTTGACTCCTACTTATCAACTATGTACAGTTGGCATACACAATACACATTTGAAATTCAAAATATTTATGGTCATATATGGAAATGTGTTATGATTACCGTTGGCATTGCATTATCACTAGTACAAGTATAAGTACATCTTCATAATTGTATATAATAAGCTACTCACTAGTGTTTACTGAGAGATCAGACTAGAGGGAGTACAAGAGAAGAGAAGAGAAGACTACTAACAGTCAGTATAAGCTACTCCAGTAAAGAAAGGTAATGTATAGTGTATACAATATTTAATATTAGGCCACACTGTATAGAACTGAAACAAGAAATAGTGAGACTAGTTTACTGTACTAAGATAGGACAGGTATGAGAATAAAAAATGAATAAGTAAAAAAACCAACAATTATTGAAACAACAAATTAACATAACACGTACAATACACATTAATGTCAAGGTCAAATTTAATAAGTTTTAACTTACATAGAAAGTGTTCAGTGTTTATACACACAATCATCAATAGTCATATAACTACATAACATGTACAATTCCCTTGATTTATATTATATAGCTATGGAAGATGAAATGAAAACAATAGAAGCTGAAATACAAAAATGGGAAGCACGGGACAAAACATCAGAATACATTGAGCAAATGAAGCAAGTGGAAGATGAAATGAATCATGAATGTAGAAAAATAATAGCAGAAATGAAGAAAATGCAAAAGGCAAAAGAAAAACTAGAAAAAAGTATTGAAAATAAAATAGAAGATTTAAAAAAATTAAATGAAAAAGCAAAAGAGCTAGAACTAAGTACAAGAATAAAAAAAGCACAGAGATTAAAAACTGACGTTCATGAAATGAAAGAAAAGCTTAGAACATCAACAGAAAAGGATATTGAAAAATTAATAAAAGAAGCAGATGATTCACTAACAGAGAATGATGTACAAGGACTATTAAAAGGAGTTAAATTACTAACAGAGGAAGAGATAAAATCACTATTAGAAGTAATAGCAGGCAAATCAGGGGATGATAAAAAAGAGCTATTGGAAGCAGTTAAGTCACTAACAGAGAATGAGATGGAAATAATGCAAGACCAAGCAAAATCAATCAAATTAGAAAGGATAAGACAATGGGAGGAATATTACATGAATATAGCCTGTTTGGCTGCTTTAAGAAGTAAAGACCCAAGCACACCAGTAAGCTAATAATGACTAGTTATATTATGATATCATCACACAGGTTGGTGCTTGTATCGTTGACACTGAATCTTATCAAATAGTTGGGATTGGATACAACTCAATGCCTTATGTTAAAGGAGGTCATAATGACAAAATTTTCAAATGGAAAGGGTCAGAAAAGACAACACCTGATAAAGATGAAGACAGCACACTCAAATATCCTTTTGGTAATCTACAAATAAATTAATGTCTTAATTATTCTTTGTAGTTGTTCATGCAGCAGTTAATGCCATTACAAATAGGACCAGAGATAAACTTGATGGTTGCATATTATACACAACAATACACCCTGATGAAGACTGTGCTCGTGCAATACAAGTAGCTGGAATAAAAGAAGTAGTTTACAGTATGTTCACAAGAAAAGAGGGAAGAATAATGGCATCAGATATGGAGAGGTCAAGGAAAATTTTTAAAGCCAATAAAATTGAAACAAGGTACAGATGATATTATACAAAGTAGTAAGCAGCAAAACAACTCTAATATTTTTAATATTAATGAAATAATTAAATTAGTGTGATTCAATAACTTATCATGACCAGACTAATTTGTTATCATTGATCAATAAGATTTGTAAAATTGTAGAGAGATGACAATATCAAATGAAAAAGAACCAGTAAAAAGTCTTGAAGATAGAATTAAAAAAGCAAAGGACTTACATAAAGGACGTGAAGATACATGGCCTAAAGAGGCATATAAAGATGCTATATCATGGGAAGATTTCTTCATAGGAATAGCAATACTATCAAAAAAAAAGGCCAGGACAATATGACAGAAAACAAGGATCCCCGGTGAGATTCTATAAACACACAAATAACTTTAAAATATAATTCAGACAGGAGCATGCATAGTGTCTTCAAGCAAACAAGTAATGGCAGTTGGATACAGTGGATACCCTGAAGGCATGGAACTTGGAGAGATTGAACAGGAAAAAACTCATAAAGAATATAGTAAGTAATAACAAACAATATATTCATTACATTCCTTACTATAGTTACCCATGCTGAATACAAGGCAATAATAGGAGGACCAATAGTTAGAGGATGTACACTATATGTCACTTCATATCCATGCGATACTTGTGCTAAACTTATAGTACAATCTGGGATCAGTGAAATAGTGTATAAAGAAGATCAAGGACATCCAAATTCTAGAGAAATTCTAAAACACTGTCTTGAAAGTAAAAACAAGATACATGTAAGGTAAGACAACAATTTTAAAATTTGAGTAACATTAATAATACCTAATAACACAGGAAATGCAACCCAGAAAATAAAAGTGAGTTTTATGGTCATAACAAATAATATAATTGATAATATACATTTCATTATAGCATTTATAGACAGTTTGCACAAATGATTGTACAAGAAAAACTTTGTTGTGTTGTTTTTGTAATGGTGACTGACTTTTATATAGTAGTAAAATTTTTTTTCAATGGAATGTGTATCAACAAATTTAGCATTACTACTAACCCAACTTTAGCCATATCCAATAGTTTCCTGCTAGCAATCATGTGATCAGTATCATGATATTTATCACTGACATAAAATATCTCAGTGATACCAGACTGTATGATCAACTTAGCACACTCATTACAAGGGAACAACGCAACATCCTTTTAACTTAGTTGAGTTCTATCATCAGCTGGTGAGCATCAATGTCATTAACAAACACACCTCCATTGGAAAGCTAATTTGATTTATAAGTAAGAGATTACAATTAAATATGAGGAGCAAAAACATGAACATCTTGAGACTAATAGGAAGCTACTTCAGTAAAATAGCAGTTTATTTTATTAATGTCTCTCACTGTACTGTACATGCTACATGTACATGTTAGTTACATGTAATACTTAAACCAACAAAAATAACATTAAAATAACAACAAATTAAATAAACATGCACACAAATATTGTCCACACACAAGTTGACTCCTACTCATCAATCTTGAATGATTAAAATTGTTGTAACTATAAAAAGTGCCACAATTATTTTGTGAAATAGATTGTCAGTAAATTTATTAAGTAAAGTCTCATTATAGGTAGGAGCATGTATAGCAATCAAGTAATGGCTATAGAATATAAAGGTGAGCCTGATGGTATAGAAGATAAAATTAAAAAAGCAAAACTTGCAAATTAGTTCTCTGTAAATATTTCCAACTGTACGGTAACTAGTACTAGAATAGTACTAATATTACTACATGTAGTATTAGTAGCATTATTTGTACTATTCATGACTAGATTAATTATATTAGTATCAAACTATATAATGAGATGGCAAGTGTCATGAATAATAATTAAAGTGTGTGGCACTACCTCTTAATTACTAATGAATAAAAACAAAATATTCATAATCATAATAAACAGATAAACAAGAGTCACTAGAATACTTTGCATTGTGTATGAACTGCAATTGTTTAGCATCAACAAGGAACAACAGATTAAATAAAGATACAAACACTGTCCATGCACACACACTCAAGTTGACTCCTGCCCATCAATACCACTGTCACTATGTACAGTTGGCATACATGCAGTACATTCAAAATTCAAAAACTTATGACCATATATGGAAATGTGTTATGAATACTGTTAGTATTGCATGACCACTATAAGTGCGTCTAAATACTTGCATGTACATGTAGACACATTGCGTCTACATGCAAGTGTTTAGATAAGCCACCCACTAGTGTTGATTGAGAGATCAGACTAGAGGGAGTAGAATAGAAGACTACTAACAGTCAGTATAAGCTACTCCAGTAAAGAAAGGTATGTATAGTGTATATAATATTTAACATTAGGTACTAATTATACACGTAACATTCAAGACCAATAATAGAATCAAGGCTAAGTTATAGAAAGTGTTTGATATTCATTGCAATAGTTGTTTATTGTGTCCACAAAATCACCAATTGATGAGAAATCAATTGTCAGTGCCTTTAGAAGGAGTAAATTGACTATTGAATTAAAAATTAAACACTGAAATAGTAGGAGCCACATAGGTATAATTTAAAACACAAAGTGTACATTAAATTAATATTTTGATAATTGATTTATGTGCATATAGCTATGGCAGACGAAACAACACTTGGAACAGATGACAAATTGCAAGAAGAAATTGAAAAAATGAAAACCGAAATACAACAATGGGAAGAAAGAGATAAAACACCAGAATATAACAAACAAATACAAGTTATGCAAGAATTGGAAGACGAAATGGATTCTGAATGGAAAAAAATAATAGCAGAAATGGAAAATGCGGTAAAAGCAAAAAAAATACAAGATGAAGAGCATAAAAAGATTTTGGATAAAATAAACAATGAAAAAGAAGAGAAAATAAAAGAAGAATATACAATGCATGACAAAATAATGGAAGAAATAAAAAATAAAGAAAAAGAAGAGTCAGAAAAAAAGAGACACGAAGAAAAACTAGCAAAAATAAATAATGAAGCAGATGAAAAAAAAAAAAGAAGATAGAGAAAATGAAGAAAGATTAAAAGAAATATACAAGAAAGCAAAAGAACTAAACAACAAAGAATTAGATAGAGCAAAAGAGCTAATAACCGAAGCTCAAAAAGTAAAAGAAGAATTAAATACAACTACAGAGCAAGAATCTTCAAGAAAAGCTAAAATTAAAAAAATACAAGATGAAGTAAAGGAGTTTAAAATAGAAAGGAGAAGACAATGGGATGAATATTACATGAAGATAGCCTGTTTAGCTGCTCTAAGAAGTAAAGATCCAAAAACACCAGTAAGCTAATAATAATTTAAGGGAGTGAATACACAGTATATACAGGTTGGTACATGCATTGTTGACAGAGAAAATGGGCAAATAGTTGGGATTGGTTATAATTCCATGCCAAAAGATTTGGAAAAGTGCAAGCTCTCGGTGTGAAAATAACTCTGTAAATCCTAAATTAAAATATGCCTATGGTAAGTATTTAAAAGAAAGATTTTAAAAAATCTCTTTCAATAATAAAGAAAGAGACAATAAAGTTATTTTCTATAGTTGTTCATGCAGCAGTTAATGCTATTCTTAACAAGACGAGAGAGAGTATCAAAGGATGCACATTATACACAACACTGCATCCTGATGAAGATTGTGCTCATGCTATAATACAAGCTGAAATAAAAGAAGTTGTTTACTGTATGTACAAAAGGAAAGATGAACTGGATCCTGACCAGAAAAAAGCACAAGTTCTTTTTAAAATAAAAAAGGTTTACTACAGGTATACATGTAATTCAATATCCCAGTGTAACTTGAAATGTCTTTCCTTTTAAGGATTTTACCAAAAGATAATTTGAAAGATGATAAATATGTGAAAGAATTACAAAAAAGGATCGAACAAGGTAAAAAAAAGAAAGAAAATGCAGAGAGAGAGCCCGAACCAGCAACAACTATACCACCGGAAAAATTCTTTATGAGAATGGCAAAACTTAGCCAAAAAAGACCAGGAGACTTTCAAAACAAAGCAGTAAGTTATAGCCTGATTCACAATCACAACTACATGTATACTGCATATGTACAAGATGAATTTATTGGCAAGAGTAATATGTGGCAAATTTGTCTGTGGAAAGTTAATCAGCAAATTTTATATTGCAGATTAAAACAAAATAGTGAATTTTATATTGGTAATTTCCGCATAGAACAGCCAATCACCAATACTAATTCCTCAACAATAAATCATCTTGCGAAGTAACGAGGTAGTTCAAATATATTATGTGTACATGCAAAGGTACATGTATGTTTTGGTCATTCTTTTTATCATGCTTAATACATACATGTAGGTAGGAGCATGTATAGCATCACCAGACAAACAAATAGTGGCTGTAGAATACAGTGGTGAGCCTGATGGTATACAACTTGAAATTGAAAGAAAAGCAAAAGAATTACATCCAGGGCTAAAAACGAGTAATTTGTCAAGCTTTTGTAAGTAATTTAATTATTATAACTAATACATTTATGATTTATGCAATAATTGTAATTATAGTTGTACATGCTGAATACAGAGCAATTGTGGGTAGATCAGTTAGAGGGTGTACACTATATGTCACTTCATATCCATGCAATGTGTGTGCTAAAATGATAGTAGAGTCTGGTATAAAAGAGGTGGTACATTATAAAAATGGAGATTGGAATGATGATCGATGTTATAGCTCAAGAAAAATATTGACTACTTGTTTAGGTCCTTCAAACATAAGGTTAGTTTCATTGTATGTGGGTTTAATAAGCTTTTTTGATAGAAAATATGGGAGTGGAGACAGTAAAAATGAGAGTCAAGATGAAGCAAGTCGCAGTATTGCTATTGAAGGGCCAGGCCGTACTTACATTGGAAAGATAACAATAACTGATGTGCAGTAGTGAAATAGTGAATCACGTACAATATATCTAGCATTACAAAACATTATTATTATTATATTAGTATTACTACATGTAGTGTTGGTAGCATTATTTGCAGACTAGTATTAGTATTAATAGTTATTAGTGTTAAATTATATAATGAGATGGCAAGTGTCATGAATAATAATTAAGGTGTGTGGCACTACCTCTTAATTACCTGTGAATAATAATTAAGGGTGTGGCACCATCTCTTAATTACCTATGAATAATAATTAAAGGTGTGGCACCATCTCTTAATTACCTATGAATAATAATTAAAGTGTGTGGCACTACCTCTTAATTACTAATGAATAAAAACAAAATATTCATAATCATAATAAACAGATAAACAAGAGTCACTAGAATACTTTCCACTGTGTATGAAATGCATTGTTTAGCATCAAAAAGGAACAACAAATTAAATAAAGATACTAACATTGTCCATGCACACACACAAGTTGACTCCTACCCATCAATACTACTGTCACTATGTACAGTTGGTATACATGCAGTACATTCAAAATTCAAAAAACTTATGACTATATATGGAGAGTGTTATGAATACTGTTAGTATTGCATAACCATACCAGTGCGTTTACGTTTAGACACACTTGTAGTGCGTTTAGACGCACTGTGTCTACATGCAAGTATTTAGATAAGCTACCCACTAGTGTTGATTGAGAGATCACACTAGAGGGAGTACAAGATAAGAGAAGAGAAGACTACTAACAGTCAGTATAAGCTATACTTTA